CACACACCCCTTTATGAGTTAGCTGCCCGCTGTCGACACAAATACGCTTATAAGCTGGCTACCAGCCGAGCCACCTGGGTCAGGCTATTTTCCCGTGCGGTCCGGCTGTGCAAGGACCAGGGAACGTCCTAGCAAGAAAAAAAACAAAAAAAACTTCCAAAAGAATCCAAAAAATAATTATGTTATGCAAAGAAATAAACTGAATAATTTTTCTTTTTTGGGGGGGGGCGGGGGGGACTGAATAACTTTTGCCTCAGGGTCACATGGAAATTTGTTACCAGATTTAAGATAAACAACAAAATTCAAAAATAATTTTTATTTTTTTATTTCTTATTTGTTTTTGGCCTGGTCGGGCAAGTGGTCCCGGGCCACTCTGGTAGCCTAGCTTATATGGGTATTTGTCCGTGTTTTTTGCGGATCGCATGAGCGACATTTGTGCTGATAATTTAGGCAGTAGCTAGTTTACCACTTGTCCGATCATCAAATAACTCCGGTAGACAACACTCGATTTATCAATTAAATAATGAGGAAAAAAAAACGATGTCACTGTACTGTATGGGAGGACCCCCCAAAACAAAAATGAGGTCATTCTTAACGTAAAAAAAAAAGAAAAAAACTTGGGTGTGAGGGTGGGGGGGAGGGGGTGCTTACTTACTGAATTGTTGCTTAGAGGTCCTATACCACTGTTGCGCTGCAAAAGCAGCAGGCGGTGGATTGTATGTGTTGGACATGCAGCAGATGTGGCACATGCAGTAGATGTTGCAAATGCAACACTTGCTACACGGATCTGTTCCAGGTCACCCACACATGTACACACACACACACACACACACACACACACACACACACACACAYAYMCMCACACACACACACACACACACACACGCACACACACAAACCCTCTTCTACTACTTCGCCACCCTCCTCCTCCTCCTCCTCCTCCTCGGCCTCCTCCTTCGTCATCGCGACGTTGTCCTCTGCCTCCTCTTCCTCCTCCTCCCCTATGTCCTCCTCCTCCCCTACGTCCTCCTCCTCCCCTACGTCCTCCTCCTCCCCTACGTCATCCTCCTCTGTGTCCCGAAGAAAAGTAGTACAACAAAGAAAAAATAGTTAAAAATATAAGACTCCTCCTTTCCTGTTCTTCTTTGGCGCGAGGCGGGATGGCGGAGGAGGAGAACGAGGAGGAGAACGAGGACGAGGACGAGGACGAGGACGAGGAGGAGAACGAGGACGAGGACGAGGACGAGGACGAGGACGAGGACGAGGAGGCGGAGGAGGAGGAGGAGGAGGAGGACGATGACGAGGAGGAGGAGGAGGACGAGGACGAGGACGAGGACGAGGACGAGGACGAGGACGAGGACGAGGATGAGGAGAAGGAGGAGGACGCGAAGGAGGAGGAGTGTGGCAGAGGAGGAGGAAGAGGAGGACGAGGAGGGTGGCGAGGTCATACAAGAGAGCGACCGTGTGTTTTTTTTTTCAATATTTTTTTTTTTAATCAATCAATCAATTGATCGATTCAATCAATGAATCGATTTCATTCATTGAATCAGATTGAATCGAATCGAGAAGGAAGAGGAGGACAAGGAGGGTGGTGAGGCCGTAGAAGAGGGCGACCGTATGTTTTTATATTTCAATCTTTTTTTTTTATTAATCAATCAATCAATCAATCAACCAATCAATCAATTCATCAATCAATCAATCAATCAATCAATCAATCAATCAATCAATCAATCAATTAATCGATTGATCGATTCAATCAATGAATCAAACCGATTCATTGATTAATTGATTGATTGATTGATTTAAAAGAAACATTAGAAATAAAGACGGCAGCCCTGTTCTACGACTTCGCCACTGTCCTCATCCTCCTCTGCCCTCTACCCTCATCTTCACCCTTGCCTTTCCGTCCACCTCTTCGACGACTTCGCCACCCTCCTCGTCCTCCTCCTCCTGCTCCTCCTCCATCGCCACGGCGACATTGTCCTCTTTTTCCTCCTCCTTCTCGACTTCCTCCTCCTCGTCTTCCTCCTCCTCATCTTCCTCCTCCTCCTCCTCTTCCTCCTCCTCCTTGACTCCCTCCTCCTCATCTCCCTCCTCCTCGTCTTCCTCCTCCTACTCTGCTTCCTCATCCTCTATATCCCAAAGCAACGTAGTATGGCAAAAAAAAGAAGACATTATCAGACATAGCATTTCCTTTTCTTCTTTGGCATTAGGCGCAATGGCAGAGGGGTCGGAGGGAAAAGAAGAAGAAGAGGAGGAGGAGGAAAAAAACGAAGAATAGAAAAAACGACAAGGAGGAGGAGGAGGAGAAAAAGAAGAAGAAGGGGCAAAAAAAAAAAAAAAAAAAAAAAAAAAAAAAAAAAAAAAAAAAAAAAAAAAAAAAAAAAAAAAAAAAAAAAAAAAAAAAAAAAAAAAAAA